TATCTTAATGGTATATTAGTGGGTAATACCTAGTAGATAACTTGTCATCCACATAATTCTAAGTTAGGGTAAACACAGTATTGCAGAGTATTGCAATAAGCACACCCAACTTTCCAATACACATATACTGTATAGTTGCTAGTAATTATTATGAGCAATGACATCGGTAGAGGCGTAAGTTAGTATATCTACTATTCTTTTACAAAATGGCACACCCACCCCAGAAGTTGAGACAAACCATTGTGTGAGTACTTTTACTTAAAAAAATACTTTAAAGTAAATTTAAAAGTAAGTACTTAGTACTTTCACTTAAGTAAGATTGTTGATGTAGCACTTCTACTTTTACTTGAGTACATATTTTGCAGGATATTTGTACTTTTACTTAAGTACTAAGCTTCAGTACTTCCTCCACCACTGCCTAGGTCTGACACCCCCTCTAGTGCCTGGAGGCCCCTCTGCACATGTGATCATTAAATAATAAATTTATGGTTGCAACTCTGCCTGCAATGCACCAGGTGGGCCGCACCCATGCTGCAGATGCGCAGGACTCACTAACGCAATAATTGACTGGTTTATGAACAGGCGATTCTCAATTTTCCCATTACCTCCCTGCCCCCCCCCCAGGCCCCATTCATTGGAGCAGCATGCTGTCTCCTGAGTATGGAAACCCCCCTGAATGTCACCCCAGATGCCTTAAAACAAAGGCTCGTCAGCCTCTGCACCTTGAGTTCACTTGTAAGATCTGCTCCACACCTCTCGGGATCACAGCCCCCCCTTCACAGTAGGTTAACGAACCTGAATATTACAGCACATATCTTCCTGCATTGTTTTTTATATACATATTTCTATGAAAGCAGCATCACTGTTCTGGATAACATGATGGATGGATGGATGGATCATCCAACCGGAGAACAACTTAATCCAGTTCACAAACTCAAAATAGCAAATTAACAGCACAAAGTAAATTCTGCACATTTTTGGGATTTTCCGAGCTCAATTTAGCGCATTGTGTCCAGGAAATAAGAAAAGAAAATGAAAAAAGACAATGTTGTTTCTATTTATTGTTGCTATTGTTGTTTTTGTGGTTGTGATACAGGCAGAAAACACAGGTCCTGCGCTGACAGCGGCTGTTCCCTGATGGGATCACCACCTGACGTGTTCTCCTGGAAAGGCAGATAATTTCTCTGGGACTACGTTCCACATTCAATATCCATACCTCAGAAACATGTCTGTTTATGGCTCTGGTTACTTGCTCTAAGAACCCCGCGGGTCTGTCTGTCGCGGGCTCTTCAGCATGCCACTCCCCGCGACGGCTGCGGGAGCACGGACAGCAGACAGGCAGAAGGGCATCGGGACCGGAGGCCTCGTCATGCCGTCTGAGTCATCGGCTTGCCGCGTTCTGAGGAAGACTACCAAGGTGTGCCAGGCTCCCAGTTTGACTGAATACGCCTCTCCTCTCTGGGTATGCTATTTGCCGACTGGTGGGGGAATGTTTTAAACATCATCCCTCTGGATCTGACTCAGCAGGCTCTTAACAAACATGCCCCTTCATCCTAGGAAGAGGAGGAAGAGCTCAAGCTGAAGATTTGCCTCTTTGTTATAGTATGAAGGTGGGCCTGGGGAGCCGGTATTGGTTTGGGGGTGGTCCAGCTCAATCAGCGGATTTATAAACTTAATATATCTGCTTAAGCTGCTTCGACCTAAGATGTCAGCTCAACATATGGGGGTGAGCAGCCATGGATAATAAAGAGTGAACTAGAGAGACATTGACAGAATCCAAGCTGCAAGTGTTTTGTACGGCTAAACATTTCACCATCTAAAGCTTTTAGATCATGAGTTGCACCCCAGGGAGTGGGATCCTGGAGTCTTCAATTGGCTCATGGGAGTTTAACTTACACAAAAATGTTCTGAGGGCAGAATAAAAAATGATTGGGTCAGCGAGACAACCAATCAGGTTGTAGAATAGGGGGGGTCCAAGCAACTGGAGTAGGTAGGACCAACCAATCAGAAACCTTGGTCCCACCTCCTCTAGTTGCTTGGACTGACCTCCTCTACAATCTGATTGATTATTGCTCTGAACCAAATATTTTTTATTCTCCCCTCAGAACACTTTTGTGTAAGTTAAACTCCCACAAGCATTCAATGGGAGACCGGGAGGTACCTGTTCGCCATATCAACATCCGAAGGAGAACAGAGATGAGAAAAGATCTAACAACACACATTCCCTACACGGCCTGCAGCTGGAGGTCTGGGCATATGTGACACTCTCATAAATTATGAAGGACGTCCAGGTAGCCAGGAGACAGCAACGATTGCTCACGCTCGATTGTGGATCAGGCCCTCTGAGTCACACGACCTTTCAGAAGGGCCATTTCATTTCTGACCCGTGAGTCAAGGCCAGATTTAAGCATTACAATGCACTGTTGCCCTGCTGTGCCACAAACCCACCCTACATGCAGCACAATATCAGCTATGAACAAAAGGAAGAATTGAAAGGCTGTTACTCAGCGCCAACCTCAAGTTCTCATGAGTTCATTGTACTAAAGCCTACATGTCTCAACAATGGATTCTCTGGTAAAATGTGTGGCTGTGGTTTTAGAGGGTTCAAAGCATGTGCGACTCAAACAGTCAGACTCCATAGAGAAGCTGTGTCATCAGAGGGTGCCGTGTTTTCCTTGGTAAATTCAGCATTCCCCATATTTTCCCAGAACAGAGCTCGCTGTTGTCAGAGCAGATCACCAGAACCGTGGAGAATTTGCATGTCTGGAGCTCCCGCATCCCCCTTTTTTGGACTCAAAAAAATGAGTAACGATGACTGAATAGAAATCTCTGGTGCACTGAGAATTCCTCAGATCACGCGACTCGATTCCCTGAGCTGCCCTTTTCCACAGAGGGGTTCTATGTCACGAGGAATACGTGTTTATTTGACATTTTTACGGTGTGAGTTACTATGGCAACTCGCCACCCATCCCAGGTAAATTACAGCCCCTCCCTCACACCTGTCCCTGTAATCGAACCTCCTGGGCTTTGACCCTTTTTCTCGCGGCGTGTCCTTGCGTGTTAAACAATACAAACAATTCAATATATATTGATTCTCATGGGCAGTAAATTTACATGGGCCTGGTTGATAGTCCTGGACATATGCTCAGTGAATAACTAGTAATAAGGTCAGGGGTAACAGAGTGTATAAGTAAGGGCTTTATTTTAGTCCCCCCCCCCCCACGATATCCATATAGGCTATATAAAAGTGTTGGCTGGGCTCCTTGTTGCTTGAAGAAACTGCCGGAATGTCCTCGAATGACGGGACATCTTCTCCAGCGCCGCAGGAAAAGCCGCTGGATGAGGCACTGGCACTGCCAGGGAAGGCAGTCCGACGTCAGACGGCCCAATTTGAGCAAGAACAGTGGGCCTGCATGTCTGCTCCAGTGACAGCCTGGGGTGACGGGGGAAGGGCTGCACGCAGATATGGAAGGGGGTGCCCCACAAGCACGAGTCTGCACACACCAGGTGGATTACGACGGCGCTCTCTGTTGGGAGTGCTTTCTGCTAAAGGCTGTGTAAAATCTGTAAAATTCCAATTACACATTGACTTCAAATGCACCAGGGCCCAATTGAAACCAATTGCATTCCCAACCCATGCCCTACACTGCTTAATTGAGGTTGTTTTAGATGCAGTAAGGTCATGGGGGGAATTCTCCTGGTGAAAAGTTGTAACTTAATGGCTTCTGCAAAAGACTCCGCCTCTCCAGGCTGGAGGACTCTCTCTTGGTATTAAATCACCCCTGCAGTCTCCTGAATAATAAATCAGTGGCATCGCAGAATATATTTGCCCAAAGTGTTCACCGGCTTGTCTGCTATCTCAATTTTTGTTAATCGATAGAAGGCACTTCCGAGCTGTATTAAGATGAATTAAGATGAATGTGCCTCTGACCGACTCAAGAGGATGTGCAAAAGCAGTCACTTCTTTAACCTAAGAGTCGTAGTATGCTTCAAATCGCGATATTTTTTTCTTTAATGAAAATAGTACCGCCATGCACTTCAGAATTCAGAAGTGTTATGCAATTTCGAAAGGAAAAGGATTTAAGACATCTTAAACCATATGGTTTTTGTATTATTTACGCATGCGGCTAAAAAGCTGCTCTTTTAATTGAGAAGGTTGGTTGTCGATCCGTAAGAAGAAATGTGATAAAATGTTTGCCCTATTCGAGCTCATTTGGATTCAGTTTGATTCAATAATAAAAAGATGCACCAGTCCACGATTACCAAAGAAGCACTGGGTAACAATGAGAGACAGCATATTAAAAACTTTACTTAAGATACCGGAGGCAAGGGCGACACTTTCAGACGGAGACAGGGTAGAGTGCAGAGCTGACTTTCCCGGACACGAACCGGGGCGCCATCCACAGTCCCGACACCTTGGATCACTGCCAGTAAGATGAGCAAACCGTGGATGTTGTTCGCGCCTGGATTTAACACAGTGAGGTGTTAACTGAGGTGATCGATGATTATTATTATTATTATTATTATTATTATTATTATTATTATTATTATTATTATTATTATTACTTTAAACGCTGCAGGGTTTTTTCCTATTGATTATTAAATTGCGTAGATCTGTAACCACACATTAAGCCGCAAAATAACCGGAAAGAACACATTATGCGGATTGTTTATTACATGGCGTAAAGAAACGTTATGAACATGTATGGAATTGGTGTCACAGAAACAATGCCTAAATCATGCATAAAACGGGAAATAACAATATGCATACACTTACTCCGTGTTGTAGCCTATATATGTAGTCTATGCCTACAGTAGCCTATGTAGTCCAGTGAACACTGTTACTGCACCTCGTTGGCGACACCAAAATTGATTTCCTTTATAGACTGAAAGGGGCGATCGCGTCAATTAAATACAATGTAAAATTGTCTTATACCCACGTGACACTTTAAATGCCGATAAAGGGGGAACCCCGATCTCTCTGTCGGAGAGGCTGGGGCTTAGGGGGCCGTTGACCAGAAGTGGAACACTGAGGATAGACCGTGAACAGCAGGGACGCGGGGCGTTCCGTTACCTGGGGAGGAACGGAGGAGGGGGAGACGGAGGGACGGCTATCCTCCTGACCGCAATCCACTGTCATCACTTTAGAAGGGCTTGGAAGGATTCAGGCAAACTGCTGGAACGTCTGTTCCCTCCTTCGTATAATTAACAAGCAGGAAACTTCGCTTAAATCTTAGTTTTTATTTCAGAGGAAAAGCCCGACAAAATGAGAAAGGAGATCCTCTGTGATGGGAGCCATTTGAGAAGAAAAACAACGTCTTTCTCCATGCGATCGTAGCTGGGCGCTATAGCCTACTACCTGTAGGATTTAAATCAATAATCACTTTACGTAGGATGTGGCGATCGGAAGCTGCGAAGACGTGCAAAATAACGTTTTTATAGTAAAATGGAGCGCAAATTAAGAATCATAGAACAAAAATAGTCGACATCCACACAGTGATCTTGGGATCGATTAAGAACCTGTCTCTTTTATGAAGAAAGACTGCGACTGGCGAGCCTCCTGCCTATGGAACCACCGTGAAATATGCGCTTCGGATTTTTCACTGGGGGAAAGGCAATAAAGCCGGCGGTAATTCAGTAGCGCAATAATGCACGATGCTTGTACTTGTGCGGTAATTTGCATTGAGTTTGAAAGTTCGAGCAATATCTTTAGTAAGTACCAATGTAACCTTATATGTCGCAGGTATGCGTCTGCTATGCTGAAGTGCGCGTCCGACTGAACCAGTTATTATACGCCTTGAACTTAAGACAGTGCCACCTTCTACTGTCTGCCCTCTATCACTGGGAGAAGCTTTTTTCCGTTGACACCAATAAATAAAATAACAAATATCAAACCAAAGGCTGGAATCAGGCTCCATGCTGTTTACTTGAGCTTCCGCAACCTTGCCCACAAGTGGAGTATTCCAAAGTTGTGATAAGTGAAGCGTGCTATATGAAGATCTCCGCATCGCTGTTGGTTTTCTCCCGCAGAGATGCCAGTGCGCGCCGTGACTTCCACGTTAATGTACAGGGGCCTTTGCACTATACCAGACATCCTATCGTACCGGACCCCTGTTACCCTTCCCGAGGACGAACTAGAAGGTAAGTCCTTCTGCGGTGATCCGTTTATTTTGATGCGAAAATACAGCGACCGTAGCAAAGATCTCGCTGACATGCATCAAAGGCGTTAACATATATCGTAGTGCAATGCGTCTCCAACTTGAAATGGACTGGCGTACATTCATCGCCCAGATAGCGATGGACACCTGTTAATATCAAGGGGTTGGACTGAGGGTGTAGCGAGTGGCAGCAATGCAGGTATTGGCGTTAATTACGAGGAATTCAAAATGATAAGACCTCTGTGTTCAGCACCACGGAAAGCTCCGCATGCATTAATGAAGGCTATTTGTGCGTCTGGGAGATTTACTCAAAACTCGATCCAGGCAGTAAGACTTCTACAACTAGTTAATTTTGGTTTAAACCATGAGAAACGACGCGGGGAGGAATATGTTGCTTTAATTTTGCAACTCTCAACAAAGCGCGCATCATTTTACAGTGTAGTTAATATTTAATGCTGTTCTTCAAGATGAACAGACGAAGGAATTGTGTGTATCAGAATAAAATTTATGTCTGAAATATATCATTACAATATAAAAGCAAAGCAAAACTGATGAACAAAATATTGTTATTGTTAAAGGCTAAAATTTAAATCGATGCAGGTGTCAGCACAGTAAGTTGGACTAAATTACCGGCGCCTTTGCTATACTTAGCTGGGGAGTGCGGGGAAAACGGGAACTTGGAACGCGACAATGGATTAAGATGGTGTGCATTTAGCAAGGCTTCTGCAGGTTGATTCAACAGACCGTTGTCTTCTGATTATGTATTCAACAGGCGTGAGATGGGCAGTGTTTCTGGCCATTTTACTCTTGATGTGCAATATTTACACAGTCAATACACAACAATACACACTCATATACGTTCACAGCGCAGAAATCAGTAGCTATAATCTTAAAAAGCTCCGTTGCTAATTTGTTTATGGTAGGAAAAATATTGTATATTCTTATTAATTTAAAGTATGGTTGTTTTTTCCCTGCTCAATGCTACCGTCAGAGCACTAAAGTCAAAGTCTTCTATACTCACGTTGTACTTTCGGTTAGAGAAAGAGAGGCGTTTTCGCAGTATTTAGTCTGGGACGGGAATCTTTCGATGTTATCAGGTAATTGAAATATACATAAGCAAAACATCTGCCTAATTTTGCATTTAGGCTCCTAAAATACAACAGAGCAATATAGGCTACAAATGGCAAAGAACTCCTTTTCACAAATATGCAAAAGAAATTATGCATTCAAGTACTGAACGTAAATGAACCATACACTTTGCTGAAGAAACTTCTCTCGCCAAATAAACAATAAATAGATAAATAAATATATTGCGCAAAGCAATCAATATCAAGGTTAATTAGACAGAGTTATGCGCATGTGAAAAATATATATTGCAGTTACAGAAGTGGCACGTTAGATATAGTCAGGTGTGAAGGGAACAGTAATACAAATTATACGTATACTGATAAACACGCAGAAAATCTGTGTCTGTACTCTGTAGTTAGATGCTTAATCGAAATTCTACTACTACCAATCTCCGAAACATGCGATTCCCTTTTTTTCAAAAAGGTTCCAAGATAGCTATAAAACACAACTTCTCCCTTGGTGTTTGCGCCTACATTTTCTTGAAAAAAAAAGATATCGATTTGTTGGTATACAGATGTAGATAGACCTATATATTCTATGGAATCGACGATTTTTAAAAATGGACTAGCCTACTTAACGTGGGTATTTCAATTATATTGCTGTATGTGTCACCTGTACTATTTGGGGGTCAGATGTATTTTCGGAGACACAAATGTTAATATTAATGTAATGCGTTGTTTATTATCAGCTTTTAATAAGTTTTACTATGTTTTAATAGTTTGTTTAATATAATTGCCTGCTAATCTGCCACAGAAAAAAGCGATTAAAGTAGCCTACTAATTCAACAGGCTACATCCGTAAATTTTAATGTAGGAAACGGTACTGTATCTGTGCATAACAGGTTTCTTTTCCAGTCAGAACCAAAGTGATCGAGAATGTGCCGGAAACTATCGGTTCACATGCTGACTGAGTATGTGAGTTTATTAGAGGAGAGGAACACACTGGGGTTTACGCATCCACTTGGGGACGTTTAATTCCAAAGCCTCTTCTCTGGATTAAGGGGGAACCCCAGTTCCTGAAAGATTCAAAGCCGTTATTGTGAGATGATAACCCTAAATGGAGCCGCTATCTGGCTTCTGATGGCCAGTTCATTAATCTCTGGGCTCCACGTATATGTAAATATATAGTTTGGTACAACTATACATACGTTGAAGTAAAAAATAAGGAAGAAACCAGGGTCTGCAACACATTGAGGTTCGTATATGTTTGTAGGCATGCATAAACAGTATTAGCTTACATTGTGGGGACCAAAGATCCCCCACAATGAGGAATAAAAACATTGTGGGGACATCTTCCAGGGCTAGCTTAGTTTTATAAAAATTTGTGAACGCAATCAAAAGACTACAAACGCCAAAAGTCTTGTGTTTTGTTTGGTTACTTACTGTTAAGCATAGGGCTGAGTAGGGGTTATGGTTGTCATTGTTGGGACTAGGGTTATGCCCATAGAAATGAATGGACGGTCCCCACAAAGATATGACTACAAACCTGTGTGTCTGTGCATGTGTATCTGAATTAGGCTTATATTACATTGTGGGGGACCAAATGTTCTCCACAATGTGATAAAAATCTGTTATTTTGACATTGTGGGGAGCATTTTCAGGTCCAGACAAAGATCTTTGAATGCAATCAAAAAAGTAAAAATGCCAAAACTCTTGTATTTTGTTTGGTTACTTATGGTTACGGTTAGGGCTGGGTAGGGCTTAAGGTCGTCATGTCGGGATTAGAGTTTTCCCCATAGAAATTAATGGAGAGTCCCCACAGAGATACAATTACAAACCTGAGAGTGTGCGTTTGTGTCTGTGTGGTTGTGTCTGTAGACAGAAACGAAAAGCTGAAACAAACTGTAGGGGGTTATACATAGGCACCCCTGCAGTTTTTCAGATAATGCAACATGTTGACATTACAAATGCTTTGCTGTTACCGTAAGCCTGTGTATTTCCTTTATTTGGATTAGAAACATGCAAAAACATCCGTGAAAAAACAAGATCTAATCTCATTTTGAACAATACCCCAAAATTGTACTGACAATTATTGGCACCTGTTATAAATAATAAGAAATAAATTGTATTTCAAGCAACACATTTGTACATAAATCTAATGGTGCTGCCAATTTAAAAGTCACATATTCAAGCAGTTTAAGTAGAGAAAATTTGATCAGAGGAAGAAGAAAAGTAGAGAATTGTCTGAGGAGGTAAGAAACAAAACCGCAGACAAGTGTCTACAATTCTATGGCTACATGTCTGTCTCCAGAGACCATAACATTACAGTGTCCACTGCACACCACGTTAGGTCCATGTCATTGTAGCCAACCTCCCTGAACATGAATGGATGATGAAAGATTTCAGTGAAGGATTGCCCAGATGATGGAGAAAGAACCTCAATTGACTGCCAATCAGATTCAAGCTGACTTATGGACACAAGGTACAACAGCTTCAACTCTAACTATCTGGCACCTCTCAGTGAAAAGGGGCTCTGTGGTAGAAGACCTAGGAGGATCTCAATGCTGACAAAGAGACATAAATAAGCCAGACTGGAGTTAACCAAAATACCCCTGAACAAGCCGAAATCATTCTGGGAGGATGAGCTAAGACCAAATTAGAACTTGTTGCTGAAAAATTTAACATGCATAAATAATGCTTTCAGAAAACAAATGGAAGCCTTCAAAGAAAAGGATAGTATCCCTACAGTCAGATGTGGAGGAGGTTCATGGATGATCTGGGGTTATTTTGCCATGCAGCTCTGGCACTGGTTGCCTTGAAGCTGTGATATCAAAAGATTACCAAGGCATTTTGGAGAGCAACGTAGGACCTGGTGTGAGAAAGTTTGATTTCTGTCGAAGGTCATTGGTTTTCCAGTAGGACGATGATCCAGAATGCACTTCAAAAGTACCCAGAAATAGTTTCAAACTAAGTGCTTTTGAAGTGGTGAGCAATGAGTCCTGATAGAAATCCCGTAGAACACCTGTGGAGAGACCAGGAAAGAGCAATTGGGAGAAGAAGAAAGCCATCAAATGTGGGTGGCAGAGGCAGTGTGCAAAAAAAACGAGTGGCCCAGACTTCCAGTGGAGAAGTGCGAGAAGCTCAGTGATGACTGCAGGAAGCACTTGCTTACTGTTATTCCTTCCAAAGGCTGTGCTACGCAATACTAAGTGTGCGCTTCCAATAATTTTGTCAATGCAATTTTTGGAGTTGTCTGTGAAATAAGTTTATATCCTCCTGAGACCCGACCTATTCATTTATGTCCATTGTAGTGGACATTGTATTTTTGCATTTATTTTTTCACTGATTTTGGGAAACATATTTATTCTTGTTGTGCACTAAAGAGGACATGCTGTGAAATTAAAGTCTAAATTGTAAGATGTCTCAGGAGGGTATTTGGCTTTTTCCCCTCAGATTTTTGTTGTTGTTGTTCTAATGCAAATAAAGGAAATGTGTGTATTAACACTGAAACATTTGTAACATCAACAGTTTTTGTGGGGGAACCGGTGCATTATCTCAAAAAAAACTGCTGGGGTTTCAATATTTTTGGCCTCATATGTAGTTTAAGTTTCAGTCTTGTTGACCCTGTAGGGAGAATTTTGGCAAATACTTGCTATAATAGCAACAACCACCAGTTACTGCCTGTGCACTGATTTTGGAAAAGTTTAAAGAAAGTCTACAATCTAAATCTCACTGTCACTAATTCAAAGTCCTTCCCAAGCTTAACATATTAAGAAACATATGCCTTTTAAAAGTAATGTTTCTGCTTTGCGTTTCTTAAAAAAATCCCAAACCCCATAATACCTACAAAAGGGGAAAGTAAGACCAGTAAACATCAAGTGATTAATTTAAGAGCTTTAAGAGAGTGTAATTTGTTTTAGGTTAATTTTCTCAGAATTACAGTAACATAATTTGACAGGACCCCCGTGCTGACCAGCCTTGAGTAATTTATTATGAGGAACCAGCAGTCATGGCTCACATCTGTTTAACGTGGGAGACGGCTGGGGGGGTGGGGGGCAATTACTGCTGATAACAACAATGCTGAGAGGAATATTGAGTTACAGCTAATTGAAGGTCATTGTAATAATATTGAAATTAAAATGAATGCACATTATTCACATTGTAGGATGCTTATATAGAGGCGCATTACACACACACACACCTACACACATATAGTGTGTGAGGATTCACATGTGTGTTTATAATGTGTGTTTGTATATCATATGTAGAGTGTTGTGGCCTGATGTATAAGGAAAAACAGTACAGTAAAACACACCGAAGACTTTCTGCGCTGCGGGCCCATGTGTTACACTTGCTACACAATTTCCAATTTCAGTTAAAGCTTTCTAGGGAGTACTGGTCAAACTTTCTCACTGTTTCCATTCACTGGTCACTGACCAATCGAACGTATGTTTCAATATTTTACGCTGAGCCTTGACTCAATAATAATGCTCTGCGTTTTATTTCATTTTGTTTTATTTGTCAAGTAAAAGAACAGTATTATGGATAATAATAAATTTCATTTAAAAGGAAACTTGAAGGAGAATTAATACCTTTAGCCCAGGATGTGTTTGACTCAGATCATGTTTCGGTCACTGGGTTCTGAGAAACCAAATAAATTCAATTGTCTGGCTGCATGGACTCCTGATGCCAAGTCTATTGGCAGCTCTGTAGGTCCGACGGGCTCGGTGTCTGAGTCGCACTTCCCATTTTCATCATCATGATAAATTGTGGCGTCTCATATGTGACTCTGCTAAATCAAATCCTGCTGAAAAATGCCAGCTCTGATTTCTCGGTACACAGAGTACAGCTGTACAGTGGCCCCGGTCGCTGGGAAAACGTGGCATTTCCAGCAGGCTGACCGCGGCATGTCAACAGTGTTTCGCAATGAGTCACTGGTCCCTCCTTAGAGAGCTGCTCATGGGGAGCAGCCGGCCACCCCGCCATCCCTGAGATGTTATTCTTGTTCTTCTGTCGGGATCCCTCTGAAAACACTAAAGCAGGGAAGGGCTGTCCCATTACTTTACCCTACAACAGAGTGTGCACTTGCAAAACACACCGTTTTTTTTTCAACTTTTGGAGAAAATCTCAGACCTGTGCCGAAAGGGGAAAAATGGTACTATTCTGCACTGAAGACCTTGTGCTGACTCCGGGACGTTTCACTCCTTTTAGCACTGGCTTGACGAAGTACTGTCCACACTCTTACCTGGAGGACTGCTGTTTCGCTGTATCATTTTTTGGACCTCCTCACCTTTGAATCAGGCCTTAAAATCCTGGTTTCCAGGAACAAAGCCAGCTCTTAAACCAGTCAAGGACAGGACAGTGATGCACATCTGTTTGCTAATAAAGATGTGACAAAGCAGCATGTTTTGAGGAGAATTCCCTTAAACTGGAAAAACACACACTTACAAGGAAGGCTCCAGAGCTGGGGACACAGTTATACATCAGTGTAACTGCAAATCCATCAATTAAGCCCCTAGAAATGAAATCACCTTCGACTTTGGACACTGAAAGAAAGGACATGGTGTAAGACTCCTTGCAGGGATCCATCAATCAGCAGGACAAGGCGAGGAATTAAGCAGCAGAGTGCGTGCAGGTGTGAGAGGCGCACGCTGCCCAGTGAGCAGTGCCCTTGCAGTGAAACAGGCTGAATCGCAGTGATTCACCAGCCGCGCCGCGTCAGTTTCCCAGGGAACGTCGCTGTGATTTTTTTTTTGTTTTTATTTTCAGCTTTTTTGTGAAGGATTTCACAGCCAATTGGATACGTGACAATCTCCTGCCTACTATGAACCTCACAGTTACTAATTACGACGATTAACAAAATGATGATTATGACACTGACGATGATGTAGATGATTGGATGGACATTATAATAATAACAATTATAAAAACGAGCTCCTAACCATTACTATAGCCTTTATGCTGTCAAGTTTTTACAGGAAAGAGATATTTCTTTAGTCATAGTCAGCATGCAAAGAACTAGACAGGAATGTCTTCTAAACTTGAAAACAATTATGTTTTTTAGTCTCTGGTTTTAAGTGAGGAATAAAAGGCCTTGCTCAAGGGCCCAATGGTGACATCACTCTGTTGATCACAGGATTTAAAACCACAACCTTGCACTCACAAGCACAGCACCCTCACTGGCTGAGCCACACACCACCTCCAATTTGAACCCGTGAACTTTAGGCTCAGTCTCTATAGATTGAGTGGTTCTCTAGGTTTCTACCAGCTTTTTTGGATCACCCCACAGCTATCTCCGCACACCATATTCCCCTGTAGTCAAAGATCATTTAATGTTGGAAATGGTCCCTGTCCGGTCCCCTTTGGTAAGTCAGTTCCCAGTTTGCCCAGCAGGTGTCACTGGCCATCCCGTTATTAGCTCCTAGTGTGTTCCATTGTCCCCTTGGCCGCTGGGTGGCTTAATGGGCTAACTGGATACCTGTGTCATCCTGGCTTCCAATTTGTTGTGGGTTTGACACTGGCTAGAGATCAGTCTCACCAAGTTTATAAGTTTTACATTTTTGGTTCTTGATATATTTCTATGTATTGGTGTATTTCTGCTTGGTGATTTATTTTGTACCTTTGGTTATTCCTGCTTGTGCCCCAGTTTTGTAGGTCTTGTTGTCCTGGTATCTCCTTCTGTTTCAGCCCTTAAGTATTTGTTAATGATGCTCACCTGTGTTTTGTTCCCAGCCCTGGCGTTCTGTTAATTGTTATGTTATGGTCTGCACCTGCCCCTCCTGTCACCTTTACTCTCAGTGTATTTATGGACCTGCCCTCATTCTGTTCCTCAGTTAGTCATTATGGTTGTTCCTTTTCAGCTCCAGTTTGCTGTGTTTGCTCCTGTTGAGATATACGTTTTGTTCCCTGCTTTACTGTTTTTGTTTCTGTTCTGCTCCCTGCTTTAGTTTTTGTGTTCTACTTACCTGCCTTGTTAGACCCCACATGGTGCTTTTTTGTTTCTTGTTTTTTTTTTGTTCAATTAAGTCTCTAGGTTTGTAAAACCCCAATGTAGCTCACGCCATGCCATGCTGTAATAACAGTTTAACCCTTATTAGTTTTGTACTGATAAACTAAAATACCCCGCTGATCCCTCGTGGGTGAGACTGTGCACGTCAGTGTTTGATGTCATTCTTCCCAAAGGCTATGGTGATGATTAAGTATATGACAGTGAGGATGATGCTGGTGAGGAGAATTTCGGAAAGATGATGCAGAGCTTTGTAAGGTCCCTGCGACTAAACTAAAACGTCTTCCAGCATCACTGTTTTAGGGCGGCATACTTGAGGGTTCGATTCCCACCCCTGCCTCAATGCATGGGGGTTTCATGTTCTGCTGCTTGCATGGATTTCCAGATGGATAGATGGATCGCAGCACTACATAACTCTGCAGTGTCGTGTCTCTATAAATGTATGCATATACATCCGTTATCCTTTTTTATTATTGAAGGTCAAGCACAACCAGATGTGGGTCTGTGAACACTGACTTTCTCAGAAGGGGACAATTGCGATCACATTTTTCTGTATCAGTGCAGTTCTTAGTCAGTCCTGCCATCATTCCTGATCGCTAAAGCACCAACATCAGTGAACTGCCTCAGTGACTCTAATGATCTGGTTTATTGATACTCTGCTGTGGTGCACAGTTACAGTTTTTGTTATACTACAGTACATTATGGGGAATAAGTGTCATGTCTCCTCCAGTCCTGCCAGGGGGCGACAGGACAAAATGGTTGCAGTTGTCGTGAATACCATCCATGATCTACCTCCTGACATGTAGACAAACTCAGCTGCCAATATAGACAGTCTGGCAAGGATTCTTGTTTTTCGGTATTAAATATCATGTCTTATTTGGAAGACTTCTGTTGCTCTGCTTAGCTGTAGACCTTGTTGGGGTTCATCTCCCTTTTAGTTCCAGTGTACATTTCATGATTTTGGATCTCCAGTTTCTGACTGCCCGCATTGCACTGGTTCCCGTCTCCTGCTCTGCTCTGTAGCTTATTTGCTGGTTAGCTCCACATCTGGCTGTGCACTGCAACCTGCTGGCCATCCAGAACCTAGGGAGGAAGACTGACGCTATAGGTAGATGTCCCTTGCGCCGTGCCCACAGTTCAGGGAGCCAAGTGCCAGTCCCATGTTACCAATAGATATCTCTCTTAGTAAGGAGTTGACTAGATGATGCCTTTTTCTAAAAACAATGCATTGTTTTGTGGTCGGATATTTCACCGGGATAATTCAAGCTAATAATCTTGTTATACCAGTTACACAGCAGGGCTTCTTCCAGGGACCAGAATCTAACTGGTTCTCACTTTTTCTATAAACCAGTTATACTCTTTTTGGTTTGTAGCACCATTGTTATTTTATTCCTAACATCTTAAACTGTTTAAAATAGGTTTGCATTCATTTATAGGATGGAGCGAGCGCCTCTTGGGCACACTGTAGCCCTGCATGTTTGTCACATCTGTTTGTTAGCTCTGCTCCTGGAGACCCTTGCAGTTCTAGTGACTCTAACGCACCAGGGCTTGACTGAAAGTTGAAATCACCTGGATGAGTGGTGAGTTGGGTTAAACGTAAATACGTCGAAAATCATGAGTAAAGATCTCCCTCAGAGACTCAGCGGTGCGGCAAACTCTGTTTTTTTCTCCTTTTATAAGAAGTCAGCCAAGGATATATTTTGGTTTTCTACAATCCCTGTGTAATAACTGGGCTTCAAGCCTCCTCTTTGTGCTACATACAGCACACCTGATTTTGTGATTGTGGGTTCGGAGATTAGCTGATTAGTGTCCTTTGATTGTCTGGTGGAGGAAAAACACCAAGATTCCAAATAGCTGGGGGGGGGGTTGGAAAGAGGTTAGGGGAACACTGATCCACCTAATAGCCAATGCAATATATTATTAAACTCTCCTAGGAATATCCATATATCCATCTATCCATCTGCTGTCTCTCTGTTTACCCTGGTCAGGGTAGCAGTGCTTTTTTAATTTGCCTGAGGGTCTTGATTGTATTGGTTCAGCTTCAGTGACTCTAGTAGAATACTGTAAGTCAAATACAGCCTCAGGTCAGGTATTGTATCAAATGATAACCAAGCTAACAATAGCTTTACTGTTAACTCTTACCTACTTAATATGCTGCCAAAGAAATACCTAGGAATACCCAGGAAAGCTACTGTCATTTAAAGTCACAAGATTAGTAAAACCTTATATCCATCCATCCAACCTCCCTCACCAGCCACCTCCTCCAGTTCCTCAGGGGGAAAACCAAGGCGTTCCCAAGCCAGCCGAGAGATACAATCCATCCAGCTTGTCCTGGGTCTGCCTCGGGGTCTCCTCCCAGTTGGGCACGGTGGCAGTAGCAGCCAACTTGGGGCATCCTCTTTCCCCAGTCCTGCAGTCAGAGATTTTTGACCCGTGTTCCATCCCCCCAGGGAGCATCATAAACTGCATCCTCGCACTTATTGCGGCATCGCGAATGGCCAGCCAATCCGTGTCGATAGGGAAGGTCGACGAGCCTATCCTTCGGCTCGATGGCCCCACCAAAAACAATCGACAAAAAGCACAAGGACATTGCTCCGGTCAGTGCCTGAGAAGGAGTATAATGAAACAGTGTCCTATAGACCTATGGTCAGAGAGCGCATACTGATTCTGGCTCCTTAATTCATAAACATTAGTTGGCTGAGCTATAACAAAAAACCAAACACTGTTGTAAAACCATATATCCATGTGGTTCCTGCCCATTCAACTTTTCCCCCCGTGGAAGATAAACTTGCAGGGTCATATTAAGAAATACTGATCCCTGCTTGTGACTCAGCATTTTCTAGAATGCGACGTACCTTTCCATCTTCGGTGCTTTTTTATCTTTAAATCGCTCATCATTGAGTCATAAATAAGCAGGATCATTTGAGCCATGTGAGCAGGAACCCGCCTCCTGCATTCTGCAACTAAGGCTCCCCATGCAGTTAAATGTTTTATTGTGAGGCCAAATGAAAGTGAGAGAGGGATAAAGGAAAGAGGAGCTTTCAGGCGGCAACGTGGCGAAGGCCCCGTGCCCCCCCCCCCGATCCTGCCACTAGGGGCAGCGGGAAGTGTATGTACTCCGAGCAGGCAGTCTGTCACAGAGACAGCAGCTGGCGCTCGGCCGCAGACGCCAGGTCACACGGTAACCGGTGAGATGGTGACAAGGAGTGGAGGGGCGACGGACTTTGCGGTTTGTAAAGCACCAATCCCGGCACAAAAAAAACAGGTAGTTTTGGCAACTGTCATGCGGAGGGGTAATTGATTTCTCCGTAGGGGTCCCACTCAGTAACTGCAGAGGTGCTCCAGGTGCGGGTGAGCGGTGCTGGTGTCTCGGCTGAAAACAAGGAGGGGTTGATGGGAATGAGGAGAGGCAGCACTGAGTGGGCCGGCGGGGGGGGGGGGGGGGGAGTTCATCTAATTTAAAAAGCTACCTGGATTCAGCAGCCATCTTACATTTACAGGGCTGGATATTTCAAAATGGGAGCATTTATTACTGCTGAAATATTCATCATGTGG